AATGATCTAAATACTTAACTAGTTAACTACATGTTAAGTAAATTTTTATGGTATAATATTTAAATAATAATGCATTAAATAAATAAAAATATTTGTCAAAATATTTAATTTAAAAACTACATTTTTCAAACATTGCCTTAAAAAGAACTCAACAAAAAGAGTGCTTCAAGTTTTAGATTTATCTGTAGAAGCTGCTAAATATATTCAGCCATCACAGACTTGTTGCTGCTGTAGTTATCCAGCATCACTTAATGCACAGCTCTATTTTGACATTGGCTTTTTGGATAGTTATTTCTGTCTATTGCTATAGTTATCACCGTCAATCGCGCAACAATTTGGTAGATTTAATAATTTTTACACTCAGGTTTGTCATTCCTGAAACAGTATACAGTATACACTTAGACAAACAAAACTTTTCTTCAAATTGTGAACAGATTGTGTAGAGCAGTGGTCCTCAAACTTTTTGACTCCAAGGCCCCCCTTCTCTCCGAATCAATATTACAAGCCCCTCAACCTTTTCTATTCAAAAAACTTTGTATTCTAGTGTTATTACTTTTCAATTCCATGTAATTATTTTTAAACAAAACAAATTCAAGATAGATTTAAACATTCGGTGTTCTTTTTTTGCAAACATACTTCGCAAAGATGTCACTGCAGATATTCTTTACAACTTAGAAGTACTCATAAGTACTGTGGCGAGGGGGGCGTGGGAAGGCGAAAGGCTGCAGCAGGAGAAAGGGTTTGGAGAGGAACGGTGATAAGGAGGTCAAGTGAATAATGAGTAACACCTGTCTGTAATTCCAGTGATTGGGGGAGAGACGAGAGATGATAATAATAATAATAATAATTCAGCAGCACTTTATTTTTGTTCTATTTTGTTGTGGGGGAAAATAAAGAGGTTTAACCGCCACCCCTGACTTCCTCGTCCTTCTTCCCGAACTACAAACTGTATTACAAGTACATAAAGCTCAATTACACAGTAACTTTAACAAATAAGCACAAGTCAACCTGGCATATCAAACAAGAACACAGGGAGATGCCAAAGGAATGGATATAAACTACTATACGGATCCACACATACCCCTTTTCCACCAAGGCATTTTGAGTGCTCGTTCAGCGCCAGAGCCTAGTTCCAAATCAGTTCTTTGTCTTTGAACCAGGAAAAGGGGTTCGTAAGTAGCACCAAAACATTGCTGGTCTAGAAGTAAGAACCGCTTGCGTCAGGGGCTGGGGTTAACGTGACCAACAAGATGAACAGAAACTTTTCAGAAACGCCATTTTTGGAATAGCAGCTAAACACGAACACATTGAATTTGCCGTGTTTGGATGCCGATGTAGATTCGCAAAACCATGAACATCAATACAATCAACAGTGGTGGACGTTGCACTGCTATGTTTAGGCTTGTTCTGGCTGCATCGGCACTGTGTGGACTGGTCGGTGTGCCGCGGGAGTGACTGGAAAGCAGACGACTCTCTTTATGCTTTTGGATCGCTTTCGTGGTGCTTTGGTGTCACGTGCCGATCGGTCTGCATGACGCCAATACATCTCGAACAAGACTGTTGTGTTTGGCACTGCCATGCTAGCGTTACTGGGAAAGATGAGACGTATTCAGTGACATAAGACCTGGCTCTGTGTTGGCTCTCTAGCCCGTGGAAAGGCAAACCGGTTTTTAGAAGGCCCGCCAGTTCATATTTATCCAATAGAATTTACTATACGCATTAGGGATGTCAATTTCGACAAATTCTCATGATCGATCTTCGTTTAAATTAACAAACAACTAATCGTTAACCTTTATACTGCAAGATGCATCTACTGCAGTAGCATAGTTACCGCATGACCAGGTGTGCCATGACACTAAAAACGCAAGCGTCCTCACACAAAGGAAAGGGTTTTTACTGTAAATAAAACGCTAGTGGGATTATCAAATGAATCGATTGATCATTTAATAGAATTATTTAATTATTCAAATATAATGACTAATATAACACCGTCTCAGATGTGCATTCCAACTGGTGCATGCGTGCGTCCATGTCAGCAAGTTTTTGTTACTGTAAGTGTTATTTTCTTCCCAAATGTGCATAGGATATTGTGCATATTAAGAAAAGTCCGGAGAATGCGAAAAAGCCATCGTGAATGCCCATTACGTGTTAAAGGCCGATGCCATTTAGTTATTAGCCCACTTCAGCGGTCTTGAAATTGAGATTTACTTAACTCACATGGATGACATTTTAATACTTATATATTACTTGCTCAAGAGCTAAATGTACCAGTTAAGTTAAATGATATGCTAATCTATTTCGAATAATTAACGATCTGATGATGCAGTCTACACTGGACGCGGCTCGGCGCAACCCAGCACAACCCCAGACAGTAAACTGATACCCCGTTCTGTTTCTGACGCACTCAAAGCATAGTACCGGAGTAGTTCTTAATAAATTTGTTTTGGTATTAATTGAATTTTCCTCGATAATGTTAATTGAATGACAAAACAGATTGTTTTTTTTCAAATAAAACTTTATTTTGCTGTCATTTTTCAAAAACCCATTTGACAGTTTGTACTTCTAAAACACAGTTCCAACACATTTATTTTGTGCCCATTTACACTAAAGAAAACAAATTATTTAACACATTTGAAGCATTAAAATAATCTTAATTTCCCCATTCCATCACATTTATTGTGTGAACATTTCAACACTTTCGTTTAAATTTTTTTTTTAAAACAACCCATATCATTGCACGAACTTTGCGACAATTATTTTAAATTTTACCACATTTATGGTGTAACATAACATTTAAAGCAATAAACACTTTCTGTTGTAAACATAAAAAAATAAACATTTGATGCATTAAATGTTCAACATAAATTTGTTTTACTTCATTTAAAATGCCTAGACATTTGTGTAACTCTACAACACTTTTTTGTAGTTTTAAATTTGCAACATTTAAAACGTATTCAGTAATCGTCTTCATTTCTACATTTTAGCACATTTAATGTGTTAACTGTGCAACACTTTTAGCTTTAAATATTTAAAAGAACACATTTGAATTATATTAACTATTTTATTTTATGTACAGCATTAATATGAATGTTTCTAAGCTGTGTGCATTGGACTTGCATATGCACTGCATCTCAATTACCCCAAATCGATGAAGAACACATTCCAATTCATTCAACAAGTTCTCCTCATGTTGGACCACCCTGACTTAAAACCCAAGTTACAAACATTAAAAAATCAACTTACAATTTGATTGACAAAGGAGTTGCAGGAAACTACCATCAGAAGCCATGGCAGGTTATTGTTCTCAAGATGCACAATTAATCTTTCAACAGATTCTCTTGTTCAGAATGTCCAAAGTTTAGCTGTGTTGTGCTAAAAGTGTTTAAATCTGCATTTTTTTTGCTATATTAATGAGTTAACGTAGTCAACTCTAGCTTAAACTTTTAGAGGCTTGCCTCAGGTTTTAATGCTTATCCAGTTTTAATGCAATTCTAGTCATTCACATGGATCTAGCATATTGTTGAATACTGTGTGTTCATGTTCCTCTAAACAATTTACAATTGTTAACGAGCAAAAATGTTTTCTTATGCAAAAAATGTTACTTGTCTTTTGGTTGAAAATTTAAGTACAACTTTTTGTGAACAAAAACAAACAAAAAAACTGAAATGTTGTTATTGTTTATTTCTTTAAAAATAATTTAAAAATAATTTACAATTTAAGTAGTATTTTAAAATGATAAGAGATTACTTAAATATAACAATTATCACTACTAAAAATAATTTGTTAATATTAATATTTTTTTGTTCAACTTAATAGTTATTTTATAAAACATATCCTCAAAAAAATTCATAATGTGAACTAATGCTTTTTAGTAAAGACTACTAATGCCAACTTGATTTGTCTGCTACACCCACTAAATGTTCCATGTTAATACAACTTAACCTGTTTAGTTTCACCCTGTGTAAAAACTAAAATTGTTTAGTGCAACGGGTTTCCACGCAATTTTCTAGTAAAGTCAACTAATTCGGGTTAAGAGTGTAATTACTTTCGAGAAGCATCCGAAGGGCTCTTTTCCCATCATCACCTCTAGCTTGGGCCTGCTGCACACTTTAAGTAACCCCACCTTTTGGATTTTCTGTATGGGACCCGGTCAGAACTACTGCGGATGCCATTTCGTGTAGCTTTGCATTGGCAGCCAACCTCTCTAATGTGGTTAGAAAGCCTAGATGTTTGTGTCTGGCATCCAGTAAGCAACCTTTCCCATATCCATGCAAAAAAAACTCTGCTGCTCTTAAATTGTTGATTCTGATTTGGTTGTGAAGACTTTATTTTGTTTTATTCCTGAACAAATATATTGTAAGGCATTTGCGAACATCACACAAAGGAACGATGGAATCTCCGCATTCCATCAGACAACTAACCTCTCTTCTCAACTATGAGAGTCGTAAAAGCTGAATCATGGTCAGCCCAGGCGCCAACTTTCTCAAATGAGTTCCTGTCTCGCTCTGCTTATCTTTACAAAAAAACACGGAGATAATGATTTACCAAACCACCTCAGATGTCGACAAGCACTAGGACAACAAGAACTGCCCCCCCCCCATCTGGATTCATTTAAGCTACAGAATGTCAGTAGGTTTCGTGACTGGCTTCATGACGTTTAGTATTGAACGTAAACTTGTGATAATTGCAGAATATTGAAATAAGTGAAAAGCTGTTATTTCAAACAGTATGTGTTGTACGACACTATATAGAAGTTATTAACAAAACCTGCAAATCTTAATTTCTCCACATAATAAGTTGGAGCCTCTGGGTAATATATGCATGCTCCGCCTTGCAAGAAGGCGATTGGAAGGTCGCGTCGTGGGACAGACTTATGCAGCGGAGCAAAACCCAATGCAGGACAGATTTGCTTGCTCTCGCCTGTCGCCGTGTTAAGAGCACTCCCAACTTGTGCTCCCAAGCTTACCATCAAAGTGATCGGTCATCCAAATCTCAAACACTTCAGAGAAACACGATCTTCAAAGAACTTAATGCAAACTCAGACTGTAGCAAAACTGCTGAAGCCTCCTCCTCATCAAGAAGCCAACCAATCTCCGGAGGGCTTTCCCGAAAGGATGTCATTTGACGTCACCTCAGCGACCAATCAGCAACGGAATTCCCTCAAGCAGCCAAACCAGGAAACTCAGCTTTTCAGCTGTCAACCCAGCAGAACACAAGTAAACGAACAAAATCTTATCTCTGCTGAACTGGTGAACGAGCTAATTTAAGCAGTAAACATAAGCTAAAATCCTCTGCTTTGTGAATTCTCTCAGGTGAATTTAAATCACTCGTGAAAACGAGGTAGAACTATGAAACTCCGTCAACTCTCATTCTAAAGAAACTGTATGTTTGTGTGTTTTAGCTTAGTTTTGATGTAATCTAGGATAGCCAATAAAATTCATGGTTCATTTATAAAGAATCATTGTTTGGTGTCATATAATTTCAAGGTTAAAACTTTTGCCAAAAAGATCCTTGCTACCTAGCTCGTAGCTTACTTATAACAATTAATATAATAGCTTACTTATAATAATTGTATTGACCGTGGCCAGGAAAATACATATTCAATTGGTAATATACACTGACATTAACTTCTCACTGGCCGAGTAGCTGATAGGGTGTAAACCATTTAAATTCAAAATCAGTTTAATCAGGTGGACCTCGACTTTTTCAGATCCGAGTCCTTTCAAAACCTGAATGAATTAATAATAATTAATTCCCTTCAATTACAAATGAGTTAATTTCATTACAATATTCAGGTAAGTTCAAGCCAACACACAGTGTTAACAGCTGAAAGCTGAAGGTGTAGACTTTTAACAGTTTGACAAATGTGGGTTTTATGGCAATCAAACAGAGATACTCTATCTATGCCAGGCACCAGAGAAAAGAAAATCTGATGTCAAAAATATAGCCAAAGAGTAATGTGTACTGGACGGTTTTGTTTTTTTGTTGTTTGTGACAACCAGTCTTTAAATTACACATTCAGGAGGTTACAGTTTATGTAGTTGCTGTTGAGACTGCTGGTTATTTGGTTCAGTAGTTGACATAATTCAGTATTGTTTCTTCTTTTCTGTCAACGAATTCCACTGTATGCAGCCAGTGCTTCCCATCCCATTATATCTCTCTAAGGTCCAAACCATTTGTAGTGTAATATCTTTTAATAGTTTTTATGATGCAAAATCTGACTTCAGTTTACAAGCAATACAAGTAACAGACACACATATTTTATTTGCGCTTTTTAGTATGTTATTGTAGCTCGAGCATTCAAGCACCTTGTTTCTCTTTGTTAAACTTGAATGTACACATTTTTTTCTGGCATTGTCATGTGATGCTATTTTTTAAATTTAATTTTATTTATTGTTTTTATTTATTTTATAAAAATGTATGTGTGTGTACTTCTAACATGTTTGGATGGTAAAATAAATGTTGTAAATTCAAATCAGAGCGTCTTCCGTGTCTGGAATGTATTCTTGAGTATATAAGGAAGGTAACAATAATATAATAAGATAACCTTGTTTGAAATGGGTTTGGCTAAAAGAAAATTTTGGTTTTGTCTATACTACTAGGTACTTATACTATATTGACTGGGTTAAATAGAATTGCATTACTAAAAAGAGACTAAAATACAATTTTCATTGACTAAAACTAGACTATATGTCTTCAGTTTTCATCGACTAAGACTAGACGAAAATAGTCATGGATAATTCTGACTAAAATAAGACAAAAATGCTCCGACTTTTAGTTGACTGAAACTTGACTAGACGATTTGGTCAGTCGCACTTTTAAACACATTTTAGTTTTGCTATAGAAAATCTACAAATTCACTATCTGATTACATAGAGCAGCAGCAGAAAGCGCGTGAGGTTGTCATGGCAACCAGATACACTGTTCACGAATAGGCCCTTTTCACATGACGTCACGCAACTTCCGTTCTGACGCGAAGCAGGGCGACTTTTAGTTGACTGAAACTTGACTAGACGATTTGGTCAGTCGCACTTTTAAACACATTTTAGTTTTGCTATAGAAAATCTACAAATTCACTATCTGATTACATAGAGCAGCAGCAGAAAGCGCGTGAGGTTGTCATGGCAACCAGATACACTGTTCACGAATAGGCCCTTTTCACATGACGTCACGCAACTTCCGTTCTGACGCGAAGCAGGGTATTCTTACTTCCGCCAGCATAGTAAGCACTATGGCTACCAGCATGGAGTTCACCCAAACGCTTGTACAACTGCCACAAATACGATTAGAGGATGACTGCTGCTGTCTATTCTCGTCCTCGTTCAGGTAGAGGCGTCTGGCATCTCAAACGAACTTACCGAATCGGCGAGATTTGCCGCTTGAAGTCGAGGGAGGAGTTGAAAACGGAGCACTGCAGTCACTGATTCCCACGCACTGTTTGCTGTCTTAATTGCAGTTAGATGAAGTTGGTTAGATATATTTCTCAAATAAACAAAGGTTTTAGACATTTACATGTGGCAACAGAAAGCCTTTTCATTCAGTAATTTATGTCCTGCTTAATACAGCGACTGTATGTACAAGAATAGTTCAACATAAGCTTGTACTATTTAAATATCAATAAAATGGGGTCTATAATTTTCCGTTTTATTAATGTAATTCAGAAATAAATATTAAGTTTATATAAAAAGCTTTTACAGTTAAAAAGAGATGCCAGCATTTGTGTAAATAAATATAAAACGCAGGTCAGCTGTTTTTTAAAAGATCACATTGCATATAGCCTATAATGAAAATAAAATACGATCGATCATATTAATAATTAATAATTAAAAAAGTAAAAACATGATATACATGTAGTTAAAGCGAAATTGAATAGAGGAATTTAAGTAATTGTTGAAGTCCAAAGTTCTTTAGAACTACGCGGCTGTCCTTTTTGTATTGTTTCAATATTAAGCCATATTCTTGAACTGGATAATGAGTTTCTTTTCAGACCACTTGCCTTTATGGATGTGAAACTTGCCATCTAGTAAAACGATTTCATATAAAAAAATATGACTTGTGTCTGTTACGGGGCGAACGAGACATGAGACTTGCGGATCCATTTGCAAAGCTTTAATAGAAGACAGAGACGTGGTCATAAAACAGGCATGGGTCAGACAATGGCAAACAGGTATATTGAGGGCAAGACAGAAGAGTAATCCAAAACGGGCGTGGTCGATAAGCGGCTAACAATATCCAGAGGGCTTGACATGAGGGGTTATCCAATAACACAAGCTAGAGTCCAGGCGAGGTGCAAACACAGTCCGAAACAACAGGCAAAGGGTTAACTCAAGATAAACAGGCAAAAATCAGGTACCAGGAAATCAGAAAACACGGCGAGACTAGACTAAGACTAGAACTAGGAACTAACACAGGGAAACGGCTCCGTAAAGTAGCTATCACACGATGAGCGATAAGCACTAAACAATACTCTGGTTGTGAATGGTTGTTTGAGTGAGTGTTATATAGTGAATGTGTGATTGGTTACAGCTGTGTGCAATCAGTGCTGTGTGCAATCAGTGCGATGGATGATGGGATATGTAGTCCGGGATGACATGCAACAGTTTGTGTAGTGTGAGAGTCAATGTAATGGAAGGGTGACCTCTGGTGATGATTGAACGGAAGTCCATGGCCAGGATTCGTGACAGTGTCCATGTCATTTCCCCATAGTAAATAAAAACAAAATCACGTTGTTTGTCTTTTTATTGCCCAACTATAGGGGGAATTTAATTTACAGTGTACTCACAAATTATCCAAGGAATGACATAAACCGAAATAACAAGTGAAAAGGTTCCAAGTATGTATTTTGTGTGAACACATAATCGTTGTCATACAAATCTGAAAGCAAGCAGTTGCGGCAAGCAAGCCACCCATCTAAAGCAGATGCAGAAAATCTTTTGCAAAAGAACCCGACTGCAAGTACATTAACATTATTAGTCTTAACTCTTAAATAACCCCTTTCATATTTCAAATTTTTCCTACATTTTCCCGAGAAGTCTCCGGTGTAAAGGTACAACGGAAGTACAGATACACTGCTTTGCGGAAAGCGGAAGTTAGCTGACGTCACTGTGAAAAGGGCCTATTACGGCTGCGCTCCTATTTTGCCACACTAAACTTAGCAATAAACACGTTGAAAATAATACACAATAAACATGTATTTTATACAATACAATAAACAGGCTTTTATTAAGCAAATCAATGAGTGAATTACTCATCCACTGTTTAAACAAATACTTTAGATGGGTTTTCACCGGCAGGGTCACAATTATCTACAGTGTATGAAGCTAAAGGTTTTTGGGTTAAGGTTCATAAAGTAGAACATTTTTAACATTGTATGCTGTATGTGCATAGGTAGCTAGCAAACAAGGAATACAGCTGTTAAGCTAACAGTCACATTTAGCTGAGTAAGATCATGATTGAGAAATGTTGGATACCGCTGGAAATGCTGGTGTTATGGGGTATCCTATTTATTATTTTAGGATTTATTTGTTTGCCCCAGTGAAGCATTTCTATTAATATAACTGATTAAGTAGTCAAACTCATTCCATATCAACAGAATATTGTGCTACAGAAAGTCTATGTCCATAAAACAGGTTCTAAATTAATTATGTTACTGATACCTAATGGTCAAAAGCAATAGCAAAAGTAATAGGTCAATATTATAAAATTGCAGACAGAGATTGAATAGTTAGGCTGGCTTGTACACTATATTGCCAAAAGTATTGGGACACCTCCTTCTAATGAACAGGTTTGACTACTTTAGTAATTTCCATGAGTACAAATCTTAATGTTTAAGCATATAATGCTATTCTAGGGAATTGTGTGCTTCTAATTTTATACCAATAGTTTTAACAGGACCCTTTTCTATTCTAACACGACAATTCCTCTGTGTATAAGGCAAGGTTAAAAAAAAGATTGATTCGGTTAGTGTGAAAGAACTTGACTGGTCTGCACAAAGCCAAGTCCTAATCCCAGCTGAACACCTCTGGTGTGACTTTAAAGGGGTTATATGATGCGATTTCAATTTTTCCTTTCTCTTTGAAGTGTTACAAGCTCTTGGTGCATAAAGAAGATCTGTAAAGTTGCAAAGACTAAAGTCTCAAATCCAAAGAGATATTCTTTATAAAAGTTAAGAGTCAGCCACACCTACCTAAAACGGCTCGTTCTAACATGCCCCCACATATCTACGTCACTGTGTGGAAAGATTTGCATAACACCACCCAAATGTTCACGCAAAGAAAGAAGGCGTAACTTTTATTCTCGCTGTAGTATTGTTGACGCTGCAGCCATGTCCTGAAGACGCTGTGTGCTTCGTTGTGAAAGCGAAACTACTTTGTTTGGCCTTCCAAAAGAGGACACAACTAGAAATCAGTGGTTAAGTTGTATTTAGAACACTGTTCCAGAACAGTTCAACCCAAATATTCTGATGTGTCCAGCGCATTTTATGGAGGACTGTTTCCTGATCCTGGGAGAGTAGACTACAGTGCCGGCTGTTCTGACTCACTGACTTTAAGTAAGTTTTTTATATTTAAAGAATTTGCCACTGACGATTCAAACGCGAGTTTTGAGCGGTGTAGAGTAGCGTTTGTAGTTTGTCATTTCTCCAATCACAAATGCGATCTGGTTTTTATGTTTACGCTGCGTGATGCAATGCAACGCATAAAAAGACAGTATAAGTCATTATAATCAGTAATTACGTCCCCACTGGATGCAACAAATGCCTCGTGTATAATGGGTTTTTTAATGTTTTTACTCGTCGCTCTGGCCAGGACAAGGCATCACAATATGGTAAGGGGCGCAACATTTCCGTTACACGCTTGAGGTATTCGGCCAATCACAATGCACTGGATAGCTGGCCAATCACAGCACACCTCGCTTTTCAGAAAGGCACTTCCAAAACTGTGGCATCAAAGATGGAAACATAATTCATGTATTTAAAAATTGTATTTCCATCTTTTTTGACACAGTTTTGGAAGTGTCTATAATGATTGTATGCATATGTACAAGTCATTGGTATTTGGCGATTCGTTTTTTTGTTTGTTTTATTGAGTTTTCCCAGTACTTTGGGCAATATAGTGTATGTTTGGTGTGGTAGGGGGCCCAACCTCATATTCTTTCATAGAGCCCAAAATTGCTAGCAGCACCCCTGGTTCAGCTATAGTATTTGGTAACACTTTAGTATAGGAACCAATTCTCAGTATTAACTAGTTGCTTATTTCCATGCCTATTATTAACATATTGGCTGTTTATTAGTACTTATAAGCACATATTCTGCATGACCACATTCTGCATCCCTAATTCTACCCAATACCTAAACTTAACAAATACCTAACTAACTACTAATAAGCGGCAAATTAGGAGTTTATTGAGGCAAAAGTCATAGTTAATGGTTTGTTAATAGCCAGAATTGGACCTTAAAATAAAGTGTGACCTAGTATTTATTTAAAAAAAGAAAATAAGAGGCTCTATAACATCTCACTCTTACTGATTTAGCATGCAGCTTAAAGTAATCTGATCTGATTCATCTACACAGTTTCACTGATGATCCAATACCAAACCCAGATTTATAATAAACCCTAAACCCAGGATAGAGCGGTTGAGTGAATGTGGTCTGTACTGTGTGAATGAGGCTTACTGTGTCAGAGACGCTGTAGAAGGACAGAGTTCCTGCACTGTGATCCACATACACTCCTATTCTACTGCTGATGCGCTTTATAGGAAGTTTAGTCTCTACATTGCCGTGTATGAATGAGTATTTGGAGGGAGAGCAGAACAAACTCCAGGAATGACCATTACGTCCAAACAAACACTCTTTACCCCATCCCTTCCTGCGGATGCACTTATATGACACTGATATAAATACATTATTCCCATTCCACTCCAACTCCCAGTAACAGCGTCCACACACACTCTCTCTACACAACACCTGAAGATTATATCCATTAAATCGGTCAGGATGATCAGGATATGGCTGCTCTGTGTCAGTGACAGTGATCATTTTGTTCCATTCAGACAGACGGAAGCGTTTATTCACTGTGTTCGGATCCATAGTGAGCTGATGGGAATCTGATGGAAATAAAACACATCAGAATCAGAAATTACGAACCTGTATAATATTTTATTGTAGCTGAATTCTTCATGGTTTAAGTCTCAGCTTACCAGATATCCTGTGCAAATCATCTTTTGCATGATCAATTATACAATTCTTATTGCTTAACTTATTCTTATTGTAAAATTCTAAAATGTTTTCTTTCACTTTCTACAGGAAGAACATGATCACACTCAGTTTTTTTTAGTGACTTACATTGTAGGAATTCATTCCTGGTCCTGGGAGCAATGTTGGTGAATGTGACTGTGGAAATCAACAGACATGAACAGTGTGATTCTCATGTCAAGAGAAAATGATTCCTACATCCATTCCTAATTTGATGTTCTGCTTGATATTAGATGGACGGACTCATTTCTGAGAGCAGATGAATCTCCAGGACCCTACCTCCATCAGAGATCTTTTTTAGATCCTCTTTGCAGAAATCCTCCAGTTTGTCTCTCAGCTGATGGACATATTCTCTCACGCCATCAAAAGAAATGAACTGAGAACTGAAGGGAATGATGGGTATGTCTGTAGATTCAGGAGGTGCTGAGAGAGACGGGAAACTCTACAGAAAACAGAAATCAAAACTCATCACCTAATAACCTACTTCAACCAATCTCCTGCACTATTATCAAATTTGTGTGGCTCCTGTTGACAAGACTTAACTACATTCTTCTCATATTCATTATGACATTAGAGCAACACAATCTAGAATTAGCTACGTACACCATATTTGAACTTTTTGGTAAATCATTTAGATTAAATTGGTAGTTCCCAATCCTGGTCCTGGTGTACCCCCAGCTCTGCACATTTTGTATGTCTCCCTAATAAAACACATCTGATTCAACTCATCAGCTTGTTAGTAGGGATTTCAAGACCTTAAATGGTTGTGTCAGATGTGTGGAAGCATATAGGTAGCGAAATTCAATTTAAAATGCAATATGCAAAATGGCAATGCAATATTCAAAATGGCTATGTATTTCTGTATTTAAATTTACATTTTCCATTACCCATACGTGCAAAGTTTGGTGCAAAAAGAAAATGAAAATGAAATTATATAATTTACATTTGCCATTTCCAACAGTAGTCTTAATATGTAAATTGCATACAAATTTGAACGCTTTATAAGTTGCAAAATGAAAATGAATAACACAAATTGATTTGATATGTATAACATGTCCAAGCAGAAATGGTAGCATAATGATCATTTAAATGCTATTTGTCCTAAATGCATTTAGACTAACAGTTAGAACACTTAGGATTGCATTTTCATCATGACGCCGTGGGATATTTGTAGCAAAATTCTATTTGAAAATGCATTCCGATGTTACGTTTGGATCGTTTGAAACATGGCGGCT